TTTTAAGACCAAACTTTTTGGAGTAAATCGCACACATGAGCCTCACAATAATCTAATTATTTCTCCAAAAGAACTAGATTGGGGCAGGGGAAAATGCCACCGGGTAATATAAAACTGGCCTACCAGAAGAAGCAGCAAAGGGTTGTGATGCCCTCATGTTAAACAGCTTAGATGACACCAGTCAACACAGAAGCTTTCCCAGAGATAGCACTTGCAGTCTCTCCAAGCCTCAGAGGAATCACCAACCATTTGTTTGGTTTTGGGTTTGTTTGTTGTGGTTTGGGGGTTTTTTTGGGTTGGTTTTTTTTTTGTTTGTTTTTTTTTTTGTAAAGCAGATAGATACACTCCATTTCATGGCCATCAAATCATTTGGCAGTTTCTGTCAGTCCCCTGCAGCCTGCAAGTGCCCCCAGCCCTGGGTCGCCAGCAGTGCTGCTGGGGGCTGCAGCTCCCAGCGCAGGATGCTCCACTCCACAGGCTCTCCTGGGGAGGGGCCTTCACCACAGAAAGGCCAAGGTATGTGGGCTCCCACGCTCAAGGCACTTTCACCAAAGCTAACAGACCAGTTTTTCCATCCCCTAGGGTGTCTGCCTGAAAACGGTTATTTACTGCGATATCATCTTGTATGCAACAGAAACAAAAGAGCACCTAAGGTGCGCACATCTCTGCCACAACTTGCTTGCCTCAGGGTTTCGTGTGCATTTAGTGAGACCCTAGCTAGCCTTGTCACCAGAGTGCAACTTTCTGAACTCCTCACTGTAACTACCATTACTCAAGGTGGTACAGCTCCCAGACAGCAACTACGGAAGGATGAATTAGCAGAGTGAATTCTTGCTTCCTCCCTCCCAGTGTAGAAGGCATTAATGGCACAACACCACATTGCATTCCATCACCAATTCATTTAATGAATTACTAGCACGACAAGATCTGAAAAATTAAAAAAAAAAAAAAAAAAAAAAAATTCAGAGAGGGAGACTTCCAGGCAGCTTGGAGAACAGTGTTCTTGTGTTACAGCACCAGAATTGAACATGCTTCCTGAGTTTGTTAACCAAGAAGCTGAATTTGATTTTATTCTCCCCAGCTGTAGGTTCCAGGATGAGATTCCTACCAGTGTTACAACCCTCTTATGAAGAGTTCCTGGCTCCAGTAAACCAGATAAGCTTAAAATGGGTTCTTCTGAGTCACTGCCCTTCTTGTATAGGTCCTATCCTTGTACCGGTCATACAGCTGCAAACACAGTGAGCTGTGACAGGCAAACAGTCCACCTAGCACAGCAGTGACTACAAACAACACTGAAGCAGAGATGCATATGCACATGCTTAAAATACGGTTTGAAAAAAATAATTTGAAAACATTTAAAGGGAGAGATAAGCTTCTCTGGACACTCACTTTGTTTCAACTTTCAAGCTTTGCCAATCCCTCTCCTTTTGCACAGCAAGAAGGTTCCCAAACAAACTCTTCCACCAACAAAACTCACTTCAACTTCTGAACACGCATATTCTGAAACACTGCAGAAACAGAACCTGTACCAGCAGACTCATCAAGTCTCACAATGAAAGACTTGCTGTTAGGGAAAACTTTCTGGAGCAGGAGGAAGCAAAGGAAGAATTAAAAATAGAGGCAAAAATGCATGGTATGCACCCAAGAGTCTGCTCCTGTGGCAAATTCAAGTGATAATGGAATTTACACTGGACTAGGAAATGGTCTGCTATTGAAAAATAAATGCCAAGACCTTTAACACAAACAAATGTCTCTGTGAAACTGCGGATAATTATTTTGAGAATGGCAGCCCTCACTCTGATCAGAGCATTTAATTATATTTACATGATGACTATAGCGCTAAATAATCCAGTCTAAAAATACACAGAAGTAACTGGGTAGACCTACACTGGAGTAAGAGAGGTCAGTCCTCAAAAAACAAGGTAGGAACCAACAAGAGATTAAAATACACAGCATAATATTCATATTGCTACATTTCTTGTTCAATCATTGTAACCTATTTTACACTAGCATTGCTGATTCTGCTTTACCTATCACACCTGTCCCTCCATCAAGAGTCCTGTACATTTGCAAATCATTTATAATAGTTACATCAATGCTACCAACAAGCAATGCAATCAACAGTGCTTATAAGATCAATGCTAATGTTTTCTTTGATTAGAGAATATTATTAATTCTGTTTTTGTGATGCGCTTCAATTGCCAAGAGTAAGTGAACCATCTTAAATACACAGATTTTGCACAACTGGCAGTTGTACAGACATCTGCAGAAAGTTCCATAGAGAGACATATTGACATGCTCCAAGGGTCACTACAGGTCTATCTGCAGTTTATTAACTGTGCAGGAGAACAAGGAATGGTAGAGCAGCCTTAGGTCATGACAAACTAAGACATGAAGAGGGAGTGTTTGGAAGCCACATAACTTTAGTGGCGACAGATAATACATGATAAACTACTCCGTCTTTGCCACTGGGAAGTATCTAATACTACTAGCATATTCTTCCAAATTAGGAATAACTTTTTCTTTTGACCATATTATCCAACATATATGAAACCCAAAATCTTAAAAATTAAAATCTCTTCAGGTTTCACACTCGTGGTATTCTACTAATTCCTGTAGCTCATAATGAAGACATTTATTTTAAAGAGGCTGTCAATAAATCAGTAGGTTAGTGTCCTTGGGAGATGCAAATGGATGACAGAACATTAGTTCTCAAAGCCTCTGTCCAGTTCATGAAGATTCAGTTTACTGTAATCACAAAACCTTGCTTTTATCTCAAATTCTACCAGGTAGGACCACTTCCCAATAGTAATATTTTAAATTTTAAATGCATAAATAAAATAACCTGGTCCAAACTACTTAGATTATTCAAAAGAAATAAAAAGAAAAGCAAATCAGTTCCTTCTTTTCTTAATGCGTGGATGTTGTTACAGTCTTTGTGGGTTTATATATTGCGTATAATTTTACATGCTATATTCTCCACACGTGCATCTGCCACAGACAGAAGAAGGTTGATTGAGTACTGTTTTCTAAGAAATAATTTAGCGTGTACAAGTATTTCAAACAGGCAGCTTCTCAATGGGCAAATACAGTAGCCAGACAGGCACTGTCACTATGAGAAGTCTATGTGAACTTTCCAGCCTTCAACATATGTAATCATCTTTGCAGTGGAAAATCATGACCTAATCAAATTTCCTGTGCCAAGTGAGTCTTTTGTAGCTGTAGCAATGAATGAATTTTTTTGTAAATGCTACAAAGCAAACAAAACCAAGAAACCAGTATAGCAACTTACACAGGGAAGCTTTCCATATTTGATACACACTTAAATAGCTCAACACATCCTATTAAAAATAAAAAAAGATGACTTCTACTTAAGTTATTTGAAAAATACTTTTCAGTGGATCTAACATGGCAGCATAAATTATGCATATGTGAAAAATGTAAATTATGGCAATTGGATTATATGGAATGTACCATGCTTTGGTCACCATATTTAGATACTTAGAATTATGATAAGGAATAAACACACAGTGCATCACAAGCACCATGACTGAATAGTTAACTCAAGCACATTAATTCTTCCATGCCCACGCTTCTTGTAACTCAGTTAACAATGTGACCATGTGAAAGTTGTAATTTCCCAAACTCACTTTGCTTTTGTTTTCTCCTCTGTCTACATGCTTTCTGGAAAGAAAAACCAACAAACCCATACAGATAATATACATTCTAACATAATTCTGTAAAATAGTATTTTAATCTGAGGAGGATTAGTGTACTGAGAAAATCCATATGACGTGGATCACAGTTAATAAATTTGCATGTGCCTGAAGTTACTGCTTTGTAACTGCATAATGAAAAGAGCAAAAAAAATGTATTTATGTCCTAGGACACACAGACACCACATCCTTTTAACCCACTGCTCTTTTGTCTCACAGCTCTGTTAAACAGTCAGCTGCTGCCAGATGCTCTGGCTAGAAATGGTCACAGATGGTCAGTTGTCCGGTTAACAGATCAGAATGCTCTCCTCAAATCTCCCCTAAAATAGTATCTCAACTGTACACAGCAGATGAGAATATCTGAGCATGGTCAAGAGGCCATTTGACCTAGTTAGGACTGCAGGTCAATTTTGATAATTTAGCCAAGATTAATTCTCCACACTACTCCTAAGTAAACTATCTCAACACACTTAGTCAAACACTAAGTGTCAAATCCTGTATTACTTATTAGGATTACATTATAGATCACATCTTTTTATGAAAGGAATTCTCAGTTATGTATGTAAACAGAAGTACCTTCTGCCTAGGGATAATACCAGCACATCTGTACTAATATAAATTGCAAGAGCTACAGGAAGAAACAGAGTCAGATGATTAATGGAAAGGCTCCATGGGACTCAGCAAGCTCTGTGCCCTAATCTTTGTGCTCAGTCCTGCAAATATTTACCAGTACTCCTTAAAAATATTAACAGGATAATAACATGCAAAAGGGCTACTTGCTACTACAGTGAGCAAGCAGTGCTTGTTGTGCAGTATAGCTGTGACAAAGGCTACAAGTAACAGAGAAATAGGCTAGAAATACCAGAAAAAAATCTTTGGTATTTTGTAGTAATTTTTCACTGTTACTAGATCAGATGTAAATACACAAAAGCCGGGGAAAAAAAAAAAAAAAAAGGAGTATTAAACTTATTATTAAAAAGACCTATCATTTACTAGCAGTATTTACTAACTTTAAGTTCTGTATCTTTTGATAAGTAGTTGGGTGTGCTTCTTCCAACTTACACAAGATTTACAAGATCTGCTTATCTAAATGTTGTGCAACACATATTTTGGGAGACGATTATTCCATCAGCAGCATAACTCAAGCTTGCAAAGCTTACTGATGGGAAAATAAGCAGCCAAATCTAACGATGTTGCCTTACAGGTCTAATGATTTAAGCTCTCTAAAATGTCCTTTGACTTTGTTGTCTTCCAGAACAGTTAAGAAATACTTTATGTACTCACCTAAACCACTGACAGTATATTCAAGATCACTGGCATCCAACAGAATTGGTCCGTTCTCCTGTTGGCCTTCTTCCTTGTAATACAGCTTGTACCCTTGAATAGTTGCAGTGTCCTCAGAGTCCTGCTGCCACTGTACTGTAATGGTTGTACAGTTCATCGGCTCCAAGCGCAGCTCAGGAGACTTTGGTGCTGGTTTTAGAGAAATATATATAATATTCTTATATTCTAGAAACAACTAATTTTCGTGCAAAAATCTGGATGCCCATCAGTCCAAAGTTCACTCAAGACTTTAATTCTAGCTCATCTGTGTACTCCCATAATTACTTCTTTATTATGATGTCTGACTCCCTATAAGCTAATCTAACAACTTAATTTAGAATAAATCAGAATAGAAACATTTTTAAATTATGCATCTTAATAAATAAATAAATGAATTAAAGGTATAAGGTAGGTTTTCAAAGAAAAACAAAAACACTCCAAAGATAGTTATAAAATTATCTACTGTTTTAAAATGAGTCAGAGCAAATGTGATTAACAATAACATCACAGTTCATCGAGTGCTAATAATTTGCTGTAGTAGTCAAAACTCACTGAAATCCGAAGTGGATGGATGTGGATTACAGCTAAGAAATAAAGTTACAAATTCAACACTACATCTTTTTCAAGCCATTCATGCGAATTTGAATGCTCTTCTGCATGACATTACTAAATAATAATGTAATCCAAAGCTCAATTATAACTTAGGCTTCAAATATCAAGTCAATTTGCATATTCAGAACACATGTGCATTTTGTTTGTAATACAGACTACGTGCATCAACTCAGATCCTTGAATTACCTGTACACACTGCTAACATGTAATGTCCCAATTTGCAGGCAGGTATTTTACACTGAACAACAATGGGGTTTAGGGTTGTTGGATTTTTTTTTATTCAAATTTATATAGAATAAAACTGTGTTATCATTGGAAATGAGTCTGTAAGCTAAAAACATTTGAGCAGCTCACAAACATGAATTAAAGTTTCCTGCCACCATGTCAAATATGTGAACATCAACATGTGGAAATAATCAAAGACTGACACCAAAATAATATAGCAGTTTTTCCTTCTCCTGTCACATAAGGCCTTTCATAAGACAGATTAGTTCCTCTTCAACTTTTGATCCTGAAACTATGTATTAACTGCATTTCATTTGTTAAAGCAATCAAAAGTTTTTTCAGATTATGCACAGAATTGTGGTTAGAACACTATTTTCTAGATCATCAGAGCAAGAATATGTAATGGGAAAACCTGTCAGAGAAATTTGTAGCCTTCAGATGAAGCCTGCAATTCACCCCATCTCTAGGCTGCTGGTAACATTAAGAATTACCTTTCACACTTGTAGCTTTGGGAGTCCTGTGGGAAGTCCACAAAGATGCCTCTCCCCACCCAATCCTTGTTGCAGCAGTGATACGGACCAAGTAGACACTGTCAGGCCTCAGGCCTTCGAGGAGATACTCATCTGAAGTCCCTGGAAGCTCCAAGACTTGGATTTTGGTCTCTGTGCTGAGGCGGAAAGACAGACGGTACAGGACCACCTGACCTCTCCTGTACTTTGCAGGAATTGGCAGCCAAGAGATGAGAATATCTGTAGGACTCCTGCTTGTCAAACTAATTTCAGGAGCTCTCAAGGGAACTAAAAAGGAAGAGACAAAGCTTTTGAGCTCAGGGAAGAGAGAGAAAATTCTCGTCTGACACCTTAGCTTATGATGAGGCGACAGTAATGCTAGAGTAAATAATCCAAGAATAGATTCTTGTTTATTTCAAGGATAACTTGACACTGCTCATGCTTTTCACCTTCTGTATTCGGTACAGCCTTAGCAAACTCCTTTCTGTAAGGCCCTCAACATTTTCTTCTCCTATTGCTGCCAGCAGTAATCAAAGGCAATCAGCACCTTACTGTTCTGACAGACTGACTGTCAAGGTTAGATGCAGCAGCTTAAACTGAGAGTCTAGACAACAATCTGTACCGTTGAAGACTCAGTGCATGTTCTCTTCCACCCACCATGTAATGAGGGTAGTAACTCTGGGCAGAGAGACAGGCAGACAACTGGAACTGACAATGTTCCACACTGCCAAACTTAATCCTGTCAGAATTTATTAATCAGTTCAAATGAACTACACTAAAAAGTTTGTTGTTACCATGATGTTCTGTTTTGGTATAGCAAATTTTTGTTCAAAATTTTCCTTCAAATCTTGCAAAAGTTGCAGTGGGTGTGCAGGTTGATTCATGTTTCAGGTGCCTGAGAGAGAGTCATAGACACTAAATCCTTGGCCATCATCAAATTCTCAACACTGAGAGAGTTCTTAAAGATCTAGAATAGTTATTTACAATGATTTACTGAAATATCTTTCAATGTAGAAAAAGACACTGTGTAACATACAGTACTGCCCTGTCAGAATGTTATTTTATTCTCATTCCTTTCATCAGCTGGCTCAGTCTTACACTGCACATATCCAGAAGTCTCACTGACATCAATGGAAATTTGGGATCCTCGAGAGCTGTTAGCACTGGATTGCACATTTTTATTCAATGCAAATAAAAATGTTCACCTAAATCAGTGGTATTTGTCTTACCATCTTCAAGGGTGTGCTGAGTCACATGATCTGACATCTGACTGGCTCCCAGAGGCATATAAGCTACAATATAGAAGGTGTAGTTGCTGGCTGGTTCCAAGTCATCAATAATGTAATGGGTTGTATCATTTCCAATGACCACTTGGTACTCTTCATTATTTAAACCTGGCATAAAACAAGGGTTAGACAAACAAAAATTCCTGACAATCCCTCAACATCACAGTATCTTGTCTTTAAGATCTTGCAAGGTTATTTCATGTTCTTCTCCAGCCTGCCTCTATTTTTTCACCACCACTAAGTAAAAGCTCTTTTATGCACAGGAGTAACTGTGTCTTGCTGTGGTGTAGATTATGGTGTTTCACGATTTTCCTGAATAAGGGATGCTGAATGCAGTACTAAACCCTATTTAGAATTAGTCACAACAAACTGTGCCCAATGTACAGTAACACAACAGACAAGCTCTAATAGCCTTATCATTCATACCAAGCTTCTAAATCTATTTGTTTAGAATCAGGGAGGTTTTTTTCAAAACCTATTTACAGAGCCTTTCTATAGTAGACTGCAAGGAATGTGAGGGCTCCACTCCATCAAAAACAAAACAAACACCACCACCCCCCCAAAAGAAACAAACAGAAAGAATTTATTCATCAAAAGGATCTCATTTTAGCCCTGTGAATTCTATTACATTTGATTGACATGGTTTTTCTTTAATTTGGAGAAAGGCCAGTAAGAACAGATCAGAATGAACTTCAAAAATGTTTGGGTCCTTAGTGAGTTGGTTTAAAAAAAAAAAAAAAAAAAAATTCTCAGCGATTCACATTAAAATATGCATAGCAATGCATGCAGCAGTCCTTGTCTTTGTTGGGCTTTATTCCTATAGAGGAAGGCTATAAAGTGGAGTAAGTGTGGTGAAAGCTTCTGTGTTAACGAACAATTCACACCAAGTGCATGTCAACTTAATCAAAACTCTGTAAGAGCCAGCTCCTCCTCTTCACAACTGAATTTATAAACAAAACGAAAGGCAAATTCCACCATTAAGTTTTCCCACATTTATGAATTAACTTGATAGCATTTTAATTAGACAAGATTACGAGCATCTCACAACAGACTAGTTAATGGCTTATTAATTAGGAATTGCAAGGCACGATTTCTGACCTGCTAAACAAGATCCTTGAGCTCAAATTAAAAGGACTTGTTCTCTCATTGAATGGATTGCTAGGCCTCATGCAGAGGCCCTAATGAAACAGCCATAATAGAGAACAAGGCTTGCCTTCCACCACAATCACTGTTCCCTTTGTGCCTTTTCTAAATCACTAACAAGGAATTAACACACTCCAACATGCATGCTCATCAGACCCTTATTCTTCTTGCTACTATGACCCCAATTTGAATGTAAAATATTCTGCTTAAAGAAACAAAAAACAAAAACACAAAACCCCACCTGTTAGTTTCTTCAACTAACTTGATTAAAACACTAACTTTTTTTTTTTATTATGGAAGAGGACCTGAATCTGTTTTTACAGTGAATCATCAGAATATTCAAGTTGTGAAATTAAAAAATGGGTGATGGTATCTTTTGTATTCAAAGTACCTACCACATTGTGAAGTCTACAGAAAAAAAACCTCTACAGAACTGCATATGATTAGTGTATTATCCAGTTTTCCTTTCTGTTTAAAGTTTGTGGAATCATAAGCATCAGAACAACTTAGGAGACTTAGGAAGCACTGTTTTTCTTTTGCAATAAAATGTTCTTTACTCACACTGACAAATGTGGTTCCTAACTAAAAAGAGCAATATATGAACATAAATATATAAATAAAAAAATTACACAAGAAGCTTTAAGCAAGTAATATATGCTCTAGTTAAGTCAGATACATCTGAGATAATTTTTAATCTTCAGTAGGGTCTGAAACAGGATGGGAGGGCAGACTAGGGAAATAAAGGAATATTGAAAGCAATACACTCATACAAACTGTTTACATTAATACGTAATTATCAAAAATTCTTACAGAGTAAATAAGGCATTGATAATGTCAACAGTCTTAGCACCGCTATGATCTGGTATGGTGTGAACGTCATCAAATGATTTTCCTTAATATTTAATTTGCATTTCTTTAAATATTTGCTTCTAAATTTATATTAGAGAGATGGCTGATGCAATACTTTCTCATAAAGGCGTTTTCTAGGTTTTTAACAATGCCTCTGATATGTGGGCAAAATCCTCAAGAAAAGTTTACAGACTATCACTTAGAAAACAATGATTTTTACAGAAGTGCAGTCCACTAGCCTTTGAAACTCAACATCTTTTCTACAAAGTGAGACAAAAGTGTTTCTATGTCCTGATGCAGATCTTCTGATACTAACCAATCACGTTACCAAAGAAAAAGTGCATGCAGATCACCCACATTTTGATTCCTACCACTGTAATTACTCCTCTTAACCCGTGGATTTCTTTACTAATGTGAAAGGATGCACAACAGCATTGTATTAAAGAAAGTAAGTATCACAAGATAGTGACAAGACATCTGGAAAGATGAAAAAAAATGAGTATTTGAGAAAGCAAGTTCAAATAAATCAAAGTTTTTTGGTTGATTGCTTTTGTCTGGAGTTTGGGTTTTTGGGGGTTTGGGTTTGTTTGGGTTTTTTTTTTTTAAACAAGACAAGCTACAATCTCATTTCACAAGATATAACCTTTGGATAAGCAAGTAAGTCAAGCAGGGATTGCAAAATTATTTTGCAGAAAACACATTTCCGAAGATACCTCCTTTCACTACTGTGCAAGAGTATTTCCTGCACAAATACCACTTCCCTAAGGACAGTTTTCTTTGAAGAAAATAAATGGGTCTCTGCTCTCTACACTGGCACCGGACATACAGTTACCCAGATAAGTTATCTTTATTCATATTAGCTTTAAGAGGGGGTTGTGAGCACAATACCTCAGTGACTGAAAGTGTAGGGGGTAATTTCCCGCACCTCTTGTCCTCATTATCTTTTAAAACTCTTTCCTTCCTTCCTTCAGACAAAATTCTCTTGTGTCCTGAAATATCCCACTTGCAAAAGCAAAGGCAGCTATTCCTGCATCAGTATTAGAGTAATTAAGCTGTCCTTCCTGTCCTCTGCTTAGCAGATGGCAGTCTGGTATTCCACGCAGAGCTGAGCATCTGCAGTCCTGTCCTTGAATAAACCACTTACTGAATAGAAATCAAAAAAGAAATCACTCCTAGAAAACAGAGCTGCATCGCAGCTTAAGTTTAAGCCACGCACCTAACAAAGTTTCAAGTCATTTGGCAATCACTTATCCTGCTTATAAAAAACACCTGTTTCCTATCACCTTAAAGATTGCCTTAACTTAAAATAATTACAGAATGCTCAGGAGTTTTAAAATGTCTAGTTACTCATTTTTATTCTAACTATCCATTCCCTTTTATATAGGAATTTATATATCATTTCGGAGACTAGGATAAATCGCTCATCGCTATTTCACCATATTTTGGAGTTTGGGTATACTTTTCTCATTATAGGAGACCAAGGTGTGAAAGGAGAGTGGATTTTACCATTCAGCCAATATTCATTCTAAGAGAAGACAGTTAAGCCAATAAAGTATCAATTATTCTACTCCAAAATATATGAAAGCCAGTAAAGTCACTAGAATTCGGGGATCTAGATGAAAGAGCTGTCTCTGGTGAAGAGTTGAACTCTGTAAGCCTCCAGGGTTCTGTTGTATGCTCTGTCCTTCCCTGCTGAGCACAACACAGAAGAGAGCAGGCAGAAGCTTCTGCTGAGGACAGAGAGAGACCCAGATAGGAGTATGGAGGCCCCAGGTTTTAAAGGCTATTCCTAACTTCAAAATCTGCTCACTGGAGTGATCAGACAAGGATGAGTCGGTACAACACTCAGTCCCACAAATGAGATGATGTGGCAAGAGCATTGTTCCCCAAGGATGCCTGTTAATTACAATATGCATTTATAGGCCAGCATGCTCTAAAGCAGCCCTGGTTATGCACCATTCAATTTTGACAGTCTTTGCAAGGACATCCAAGTTCTTACCACATACAAGTAGTTAAACAGTATTTAAATCAAACTGCTTACCTTCTGCTTTCATGTAATGCACGGAGTATGCAATCACTTTGTCTGAATTATAAAGTGGCCTCTCCCATGCTAGCAGGATCGCTGAGCTTGACATCGTTTCTGCATGGACATTGTAAGGTGCACTGGGTCTGTCTTCTGACATAACTACAGTAAGCCTGGCCCTGGAGAGAATAGATCCCTGGCTATTCTCAGCCATGCACTGATAAATGGCATCGTCTTCAGGAATGATCTGGTTAATCACCAATTTACTGAATCCAAAAGGAAGAAAAAAGGGGAAAAAAGCTCACATCATGGATAAACTTAACTCCACATAATGCAACAACAGTTGTGTTTGCCTCTGCTTCATGAGTTTAGTATAATTGAATTATGCACCACAAACTCTCCTATTAGAAATGGATGTGCAGCTGCGAAATTTAGCAACTTGAAGTGTTCCCCAAAACCTGTCATGTTCATGTTTATGCCTGCAAAGCCAGGCACAGTGAAAACAAACCTGTAAATCTATTCCCCTCCTGTAAAAAGCACAACCTTGTCATTTCTTAACCAACTCTTTCATATGAGCTGCTCACTATACAGAAGTAGTGAAATGAAGCCTCAAACAGCTACCAAGGTTCTGGTCTCTGCTACACTGCTGTAAATCTAGAACAACTCTCTGGTGAAATCCCTTCAGTTTCCCCCCACCAGGTAAGGCAGCGATCACAAAAGCTTTGCTGAGGATTTTAGGTACTGACTGATCTGCATTCCTTCTGCCAAGGAAATGTCCATAACTGTATTTAATGTCCAATTTCATGTTTACTTGAGTTATATCTTTCTTGGCTATATTTAGTTACTAGAATTTCATCCTTTGGTAGCACATCACTAGCACAGCTCTCATACAGCAATTGTTATCTTACCTGTTGTACATTTTTATTCTACCATTGGAGTGTATTCTCCTTCCATTTTTTAACCATGAAATTTTGGGGGCAGGATTTCCTTCTGCCTGACAAGCAAAACGAGCAGTACCAGCTCTAGGCCTTGTTAAACTTTCCGGCCATTCCACAAATGAAGGTGGAGCTACAGATAAATAACAAGTGGGAAAAAAAAAAAAGAACAAAAACCAAATCAAGCCCCCACAAATGCAAGGACAGTCAGAATAATAATGAGTTTTCCACACACAAACCTTTCTCCTCAGGCCACTCAAATATACATACCCATGCAGAAAACACGTTCCACGTAAACAAAGCACATTTGTTTAAACATACATACTATCTGCATAGATAGCAACATTTCTACACATTTTTGTACATGCATTTATGATTACAAACAAATCAAATTCCAGCCTATGACATACTGCTCACAACGCATACATATATATTACATATTTCTACTTTGCTACAGCATTCTTTTCTGTGTTGAAAGCCTGTCTTCCCAGAGCAAACATTGCACCTGGGTATCTCCAAGCACAAATGAACTGCTAGTTTATAACTCAAATGCTGGGTATCTGACACTTCTCATCTAAGTCAACAGACAGCAGAAGGCAGCCACAGTTCTGTGATCTGTTTCATCTCTGCAGTCTCCCCACAGCCCTTGGCACACTATGTTTGAGATAAAAATTCAGCCCAGTACATAGCACAGCTCAGGACAGACACAAGTCAAAACACTCTGTGGAAGTCAAAGCAGGCTCACCCAGCACAGTGAGAGTTGCCATTGCTACCGTGAAGTTTCGTGTGCCTGGAATAGTGGCTCGACAGACATACACGCCTGCATGCTGCACCTTTACGTCAGAGATCATGAGGTTCCCATTTCCAAGGACACGGGTATTGAAGACATCAATGGACTTATGGTCTATTTGAGAGAGTGGGAGAAATGTGGTTACAAAGCTGTTCAATGTATCTAAATAGCTTATCTAAATAGGGTTGCCCAGGCAGTAATGGCACGGATTAGAGTTTAACAGTCAAAATATGCAAAGGGAAATCACAGATGAGCTTCCAGAGGTTTCCATTTTGCATTTGCTTTGCTCGTCACTCTAGTTATCTGACCATTCAGGTGGCTGGGTCTCACCACTTGGTAAGTGGTTTATATCTGAAATTCACCATCACAACTAAAAAACTACTGCCATTTTCCCAGTTAGCTTCCCCAATTGCCTTGCACTACGATTCAAGTCATCACTACCAACATTCACATCATCTTTACAAACAGGGATCATCTATCTCCTTCTGAATTATGCTGGGGATAAAATAAGTATATTTGATTACCACATATTTTCTTCTGTTGTCACAGAAAATGCTCTATAACTATTGGGTAACTTTTTTTCTTACTTGTTTGTCTGTAAGAGCCACTGAATCAGCCAGGAAATACATGTTTATTTCTCCTACTTTTAGAAATAAAAGTGTAGGAAAACTTCTCATGCTTCTACAGGTACAGTCCTGACTTTCACATTTAGGTACATGTCAGAACAAGAAGAGAGGTAGTTTTCATGGAAAAATGTGATGCACTGATGAATGTTGCTATTCTTATTGCATTCCCTGTCTTCTACCCTTCTAGGCAGACTGCTCAGGGTTTGACTATACCTATCTATAGGACTATGGCTCATTAACACAAGGTCCAAATCACATTCACATACTGCTTCTAAGAAGAGGGGGAGAAATTTTTACAGGATTGTTTCACAGGATGTAACCATTCCAACCTGCCCTAACTCACCATTGATCCTACTCTAAGTCACAGATCCCTGGAGCTCACCACCCTACCTGGCACCTTGCCCGCATTGTGCTGCGGGTGGTGCAGGAGTGACAGCAGAAGCAGGGAGTCCAAAGCCTCAGAAGACCTCAGGACTTCTTAACAGCAGTATGGAAGTGTGCAACTAAAAGCGTTTCACTTATCCTACCAAAACCTACTAATCATTACCTACTACATGAAGCCTCAGAACAGTAACCTAATTGCTGAAATCCTTTCTTTCCAGTTTCACTTCCTCTCCACAGGCTGAAGGTCACATGCTGTAATTTTAAGACCTACCTAACCGGCTCCATGAGATGATCGGCTTTGGATTCCCTGTGGCTACACACTCCAGTATGACAGTTTGATGAAGAGATGCTGTAATGTTTTGAGGACCAGCTATTATAGATGGCTTGTGAAAAGGCTTCAAGTCCGAGGCTTTGGAGGGGGAAAAAAAATTTAAAAATAAAAATCAAAAGAAAGTGAGAACAATTAAACAAAAACTTAATTAAATATGAAATAAAACATGTCATTTTTTAAAGGATGCTTAAAATTAAATTTACACCAAAGCCTTATTTCAGTAATTGTGGAAACTTACACTGAACAATATTTTAGACACAAAATACAAGCAAGCAAAACTATTATTTTGGCGTGTGTTTCAGAGCACAGTTACAATGCTTCCATGCATGTAAGTGGTTTTGCTATAACATAAAAAAGAATATAATGACATTGAAAAAAGTCTCACATGGGTAGTACCTGGAATAACACTCAGCACTGCCTCTGTGCTCTTACGTCTACTGGCTATTGTTGTGGCAACACATCGATAATTCCCAGCATCCTTCTGTTCAACTCCATAGATTTGAAGAACTCCTGTAGGTAGAGCGGTTATCCTGTCACACAAACAAAAAAAGAAATGTAGATAAACTTTCAGCCAGTGAACACAATCATGGAATTATCTACTTGATTTACAAACAGACATTGCTACACTGACCTGGGAATAGCAGGCTGGAGACTCAAAAACATTCTCTATATATGACTCACCTACCCACATTTCTGAACTACAGGAGAGATTCCCCCAGCACCACAATGAGTGCAGAGGAATTTACTTTCAACAAGCAGATCTTTCTCACCCTGACAGGCAACCATCCCAACCTTCCTTAGCCAGCTACTACATTCATACTATTCAGGTTGGCTGATTTTTGGCAGTAATTTCTGATATACGGGCATAACTAGTATACAGTTCCCAGAAACCTACCTATGCTTTCGATTTTTGCTTCTCTTTGTACCTTCCCCAGCATGTTAGGTATCTTAGACATGTGCAAAAGAAGTTGCATGTAGAGAAGGATGGGAGTAGGTTCAACAGATACAGTTTGGACAGGGAAAGAATCCAGCACAGAGCAGAGTATGCTTCAAGTTTATCAATTCAAGAGAATTCCCCCTGCACAGTTTCCCTAGCATGACATGTTTTAACTTGGTTTTCTGGTATATAATTCTTTATTGGCCCTCTAAAGAAAAACAGGTTCATCATCAATTTTTCTGTGAAAGCAATCCTGCTAGTTCAAACCATCCCCGTAGCCAAAGTCCATCTATTCTGCATCCCACAGCAATTACCATTCCTGTGGGTGACTTGCATACAAAATTCTCCAATGACAATTCATAGGTCAATGATTACTCTGTAGACAAGAGAGGGTGATTCTGGTCTGCACTCATAACACCCATTTAAAATTCATTAACAACATAACTATTACTAGCTATTTTAATAGTTGACATAATATACACATTTTTACATAATGGCATTGCACGTACTCAGATTTTCTTCTTGTAGCAGGCTCAAAATTATCACAGAAAATAAATGACATTCTAAAATATGTAACTCTACATACCTGTCCATAACTAAAGGTAGAGTTGTTCGATTCACTTCCCATGTCACAGTGGCAGGAGGGTTTGCTGCTATTTTACAGGCAAATCGAGCTACTCCACCTTCTTGAACCTCAGTTGAAAGCGGCTGGACTTCAAATGCAGAAATGGCTAAAAATAAGAGAACAATGAATTTGAAGGACTAAAGTGAGGAATAATTACCTGCTAAACCAGAGTCCAGATCATGAATCAACTTGCAAAAATACCTAGAAATACTTCAAATAGTCCTCTTTTACGTGCAACGAAAGATAGGTCTAATTATCTTTTCAACCTGGCTCGATAGTGTGGTTTCATTGGTTGAAGGTTTATACACAATAAATTCGCTTTAACCTAATTTGATAAAAAAAGTGTTCCAATGAAAATGAAAATTACACTCTCAAATAGAATTAAGCATACAAATTGACTGGCATGCAGCTGGAAAGCATATCAATTACTAAAACTATGGAAGTTCATGTCAATTTAACTAGTTTGGGACTGACCCCTCTATACTTAAAAATATTTGACAGCAATGGAAAGTTTCCAAAACAACACTCAGTTTCTGACAGTCATATTTTAGTCCTTCAATAATACTCACTTTGGTAAAAGCATTTGGAGAGTTGTACAAGCTCATGTTCGATAAGAAAAAGAAATCAAAACCAAAAAAGATCTTAAAGTAAGTTTAATCATGTAAGAACACCTTCATCCCGACAGTCCGAGCAATTACCAAGCGGATGTCTGATGCAGAGAGCATCAATATAATTTCAAGTATTCACTACTTAAGGAGTTCACAAAATTGAGCCAATTGAAGTGGCGGATCAATAAATACCTTCCAGCTAACAGACACCTAAGAAATTGATAAGTAGTTGGATTTCTTTGCTCAGAAAATAAAAGCCAAAGGGAAAGGAATACAACACCCTCTAATTAATTGCTCTATTTACTGCTACTTACAACGTAATTACGAGAGAGAACAACTCTTCAGAGGCAACTCCTTTTGGATAACTCACAAATAATTCCACACACATTTCCATCCCCTGTAACTGCACAGGGAACAATCTCTGCATAAACTCAATGGTCCTGATTTGTTTTTTTTTAAAAAAATCAGATTTCAAGTAATTTTCTACTCTTGTATAAATTATACAGAAACATAATTTCAATAGATAAACCAATATTAGTAAGTTATCCATCCCTTAACATTCAAGTTTTGTGTTGAAAGAATTCCTACTTTACTTGTTTATTAACTGAAATGGTTTTTCATCCTATGCACCATATTCTCAGTAATACCCTTCTATGTAGAGGATGCATACAGTACTGATGCTCACCAAGCATTCTAACAAATGCTCCCCACCCCCTGTCATTTTAATAATACTGCATAGCACCAATAGATTAATATTGGAGTGTAAAGGAAATGCGACATGACCCGGTTGCTTTCCCTTCCATGCACAAATTAACTCCTAACATGGGCCTAACTACTTAACTTAAAGATTACTACTACTACTGTAACTATTTCACTTCGCAGGTTAGAATAAATCCTTTTTTTTTTTTGCACTGCATTCTTGTAGTTGCATCAGCACTGCAGGAATGAGCATTCCTGATCATACCAGGATGTATGCATCATGCAAGCAGAGTTGCAGCTTAGTGAACAGACCTCCCAAAGATTGTGATTAACGAGACAACCAAACCGCCTCGTACAGCAAAATTACTTGAAAGCCGTTGTGGTCACGTGATGCAAACACCATGGCTGTTGGAACTGGGTCTGGCACCCCAAATGGGATTCAGACTCCCAGGAGGCAAGCAGAGATGCTCCTGGTATCCATTTTGCAACCAGTCCTGTGCTTTTGGCAGCAGGTCCCCACAGCCCCAGCACACTCTGCAGTCTGTTCCCCACCCACCTTCACTGCAGGCAGAACTAGCCTCCCTCACTAGCAGAATTTAACCCAGTTCCCTATGTTTCACTTGTTACTCTTTCTTTCACTTTTGAGCAGTACCAGATTCAAGAACAAACAAACAAAAAACCCCACAACTTGCATAAAGATGTTACAACGGAAGTCTTACATTTAAAGCCTCTTGGGGGGAGAGATGAAAACAGTTCTCTCCTTAAACAGATTTTTTTTGATTGCTAAGGAATCATCAGAAGAAAAAAAAGAGACCTAATAGTTCTTTGCCTACCTACAGAAGTTCAGCTTCGCAGAACAGAAAGACTCAGTGCAAGTCAAATAACCTGCTCATACACCAGGTTACTCCCACAATTCCAAAACTTTCTAGATTTGCTTTCTGCTTTATTTGATGCAATCCAACTCTCCTGTAGTTTTCCACCACAGAAAAGGGACAGGGACAGGGACGGGGGGGCTAGAGCATCCAGGCTTGTCCTACTTCCTCCCTTCCCTCCTCCTCCATTCTAATTTCTCCCTGCACAGAAAACGTGTGTTCACCTGGAGTCAGAATAATATTTCCCTAGTACTGTTCTTAACAGATTTTTCTAACAGAAAATGCAGTGCTTTGCATTCTTCATTTGTTTACTGAGGTATGATGTAGCAAACTAGTCAAGTCTGCTTAGCTTTCAACTAAAATCTCTAGGAATGTAATAAAGGCATAGATAATAAGAACACAAATCAACATAGCACAAGTTTCAGAGCCATCATGTAGCACAGCTGTACCACACAGCCAGTGGCATAAAAAAGGACCACTTTAACAAAGCAGAAAGGTAATTGTACAGTCTTACAGAAGAAAAGCTCTTACACACCTTTAAAAGTTTTGTTTTCATAGGAACTATGAAATAACACCCATAATTTTCTTATATTGGTAGGATTATTTAAAGGAACAGAAGAAGACAACAGAAACACTGTATCTGGTTTTCATTTATGTGTATAAAAAGAATTACTTATTTCCATGCAATCGGTACATTACAGCTGAAGGTTAGAGACAGAAATGAGACTCAAGAACTGCAAAAGAAACTGAGGAAAATTAGTATTTCACAGAACACAAAATGTCATCGTGACAGCAAGCAAGAACAGATTCAGCTATACTGTTTAGAAAATCCAATGCAAGTTGTTAATTGAAGCTGATCTTTAACCTGAGCAGAAACAATGTTTGCTCAGAAAATTAATCTTTAAAGACAGCGAAAGTCAGAACTATGGAGAACTGCACAAAATCTTCAGAAAAACTCAATGTCACTAAATGTGGTTTTACAAACAAAAAATCCCCACTTATCTCTCACCTAAATTTATACATTGTTTATCAGTTTAGCTCAATACTTGCTCCTTCTGTATCTTGTTTCTTTACACAAATCTCTGGTTTCTTCTTAATTCTGACTTCATTTGTTCCAGTAAAATCTGTTTTTACAAGTCTATTGCTGTCTCGTGAAACCTGACCTCTTTGTAACAGGCTTGTTTTCATGGCAAGTGCTGATACCAACTCAGAACCCCAAGAAAAAGTCATTAAAGCAGTGCTGTTAAAGAGGCCAGAGCTCTATAAAATGGATAAGAAACAAAGTCTCGAGAGCCATACGTTGTTCCCGAAAACCCTGCAAAATGCAATAAATGTAAGTGCCTTTTTATTTGAGTTTTCCCTCTCTTCTCCAGTCTATTTAATCATTTTGTTCCCAGATTTATAGCCAAAAGAAAACAATTAATGTTACTCCAAGAACCTGATGCTCTCACCCTTTTTAACTTGCAAGATACCAAATGCTGCTTACAGAAGAAGAAAACAATAGCTAGAAACTGTATTTATTTTTATAAATTCCTGCAATTTATGTTATAGGAACATGTGTTTGTATAGTTACTTTTGCGTACGAGTATCCTTGATGGCATAAAACACAGTTCTGTCCAGTAAAGTCATCTATGCAGAGAGAAATCAGAGTTCAGTTCTGGTATGAGTTTCCCCATTTACCATAGAGGCAAATATCCACAGGCTCAAAACGCAAGTGATTACTTGCTGTCACACACTGCTTAAATATTAGAGAAACACTGCTGGTGTCTCTTGCACATTATACAGATTGAACACTATCCTTCATGCACGCAAAAAACCATTTTGTCTACCTAAATATGTTTACATAAATTTAACTATTAAGGTATGAAAAAGTAGAACTTAAGCTCGTCTCGCATCTTTTGTTTGTTTAAATACAGCAGCAAGTCCTTCACTCACTTTAATTAAAAAAAAAAAAAAAACCAAACAAAACCCAACACAACAATCAAACAAAAAAGAACCACAACACATACCCACTTCATTCACTCCTGAAATGAAGTCCTGAAGCTCGTTCAAACGGAAGTCCAGGTGACTTGTTCTCTTACGGGCTGCACTTTCTACTTGCACACTTTTTTTCATGAAGTGATTTTCTGAATGAACTTTCTTAAGAGGCAAAAGAAATTCCAACAACTTGCATGTTTATTATCGTTAAAGCTTGCTGGTTTCATCACAGCTGACACTAGCTCAAGACTGGACTGCAACTGTACAATAAAGATTTAACGGAAAGAATGGAAGATAAAACCCGGGAATTCAAATTACTCCCTGAACTGAAAGAGTAACACAGCATTGGGTTTCATGTAACCAGAATGCAGCAAATATTGAGAAACTCTCCAGCACATGATACCCACCACTTAAGTGTTTCTCAAGAGATAATGGCCACTCAGATAGATGAACTGTTCAGGTGAAAAGAACAAAAGTGCTTAATGCCATTTATAGAACTTACGTGTTAATGCTATTGAGAATTACACAATAGCCCTAACCTTTCAAATGAAACCAAGAATATTTTCCTTTTTTTTTAATTCACAGGTGAAGAGGTTTCACTTCAGAAAAACAAACTTGTATGTTAAAAGCAAGCCATGGCTTTTTCCAAATAAATGGATTTCAGAACAACACATGAGAAATTTAATATTAATTTTTCTCTTTTTAATCTAATTTTCATTATGTACTTCCTCTCTGAAACGCTGTTTAAAAATGCAACAAATATACATGTGTATTAGATTTTAGTACTGAAGCCAACTTGCACATATTTTTCTTGAGTTCAGTGTGATTTGTCAGTTCTTGCAGGAGCGAGGCTTACAACAGATTATGCCATGCCTTTTGGTATATGGACACATATTTCCAAATGATTGTCTACTCAAATGGTGCACTCTGGTCTGGATCTGGATTGGAAA